ATTGTTCTTCTACCAACAACAAAGTCGGTGGCAATCAATGTTTTAAACAAAATCTATGTAAAGCTATAAGTTTCAGAAAAGTACTGGCTTTTTCAAAGTGTCTAGACAAATATTTATTTCAGATAAGAAAACATTTACCAACTTCTAAAAGTCAACAATTAATGCCTATATCATATTCTGAATTTGGAGCCAAGTACATGTGTATATATCTAAAATACATGATGCCATCTTAATGAGGACACATCCTAGTAAATGTTTATATTTTAAAATACACTTGCCAAAAGTTTTTTGTTCATATACAACAAATACCGGTATGCATGCATGTGTGTTTCAAATAATTGAGGGATGGTTACATGAGCATCCTACATACAAGTGTGTAACCACCTGGAGTGATTTGAAAGTGATTTGTTAAACTGAAGTGATTTGTTTGCAATTTATTTGAAATGATTTGTTCGCGATTTATTTGGAGTGATTTGGTTGCGATTTGTTCAACAGAAGTGATTTCTACACGATTTATTCAAAGTGATTTCGTTGTGATTTGCTTACAATTTGTTAGGAGTGATTTGTTAGCTCATTTGCATGGGAATTTGCATCACTTACAAATCATCTTCAAATCACTGATTCATTAGTGATTTCTTAGAGTGATTTGTTTAAGGATTTTTTTCACTTGGGTCTTGTTTATATTAATGCTGTCGTGTATAAAGTGCTATAAATGGCTTTTCATTGAAGTAAGGAAGATTGAGTCAATGTAATATTCCCTTGATTTTCATTGATCTTTTATGCATATTTGTAAGTAATTGAATTGACACAATTTAAAATATGAATTTAAGAATTATACCATGTCAGATTCATATATTCATATCAATTTGATGTCAATTGATCTTGATTAGATATCTAACAGATTTTTTAATGATGCAATCTTTTTATATAGATCAGATTCCAGTCCAGTGCTGTGTACAAAGGACTCTCCTCAGTCAATCAATGTAAGGCGTCAGCACCACGTACAGTATATGTACAGTATATGTACAGTGTACAAGGTACAGTTGTGATCTCAGGGCCAACAGAAATTACAGAATCTGTTTTACTTGTCTCGACATGTCATGACATCTAATTATTGTACATTATGCAAATTTTGAAGACGGACAAATATCATTTGATATATAAAAATGTAGATAAAATCAGATTAATTTGTTAATAAGCAATATTTGTTAAAAAAAAGTCTAGAGACAAATAAATAAACTTAATGTAAATACTGTATATCATGTTTTAAAGAGACAATTATTGAATGATCTAAAGAAGTACATTTAAAAAAAAACTGTAAAGAGAGTCTGTGTTTTTGATGTCAATAATTCTAGCACTGTGTTGTAATTTACAGAGAGATCTCCCTGACTGAGGAAATCAACATAAAACCACAGGATGAAGAGGAAATAGATGTCTGCTGTCAGTGATGTATAGAGCAGTGCTACAGAAATCTGTCGCCGTGTCTGGTGTTAGTCGGTGTCGTCACATTACCCGTGTTACATCAGACCGGGTCTGGATCAGTGATAAGGAAGGCAATCTTATACTGACTAACACCAGAGGAGAAGAACTAGACAGTGTGACAGATATAGGTCGTGTTGTGGGAGGACACAGTGTGAATTCTAACGGTGATGTAATTTATATAGACAGGGAATATAACATCATTAAACTGTCTACAGATAACAAAGAAAAGACTACGATAATAAAGTACAACACATCACCATGGAGACTAAGGAGTGTCTACAGCTCCCCCTCCACTGGAGACCTGCTGGTCGTGATGTATAGACGTGATACAAAGACAGGCAAGGTAGTGAGGTATAACTCCACAGGAGAAAACATCCAAACCATACAGCACGACAACATCTCAGGTCAGGAACTGTATAGATCACCTATCTACATCACAGAGAACCGCAATGGAGATGTTATTGTGTCTGACTGGGACGTGGACCATGCTGCTGTAGTGGTGACAGATCGTGACGGTAATTACCGATTCTCCTACAGAGGTCATCCATCAGGATCAGGACTATATCCACATGGAATCTGTACTGACGCGCTGTCACACATCCTGGTGTGTGGTTGGGTCACCGACTCAGTACAGATGTTAGATAGTGAGGGTCACTGTCTAACAGAGATAAAGACACGACAACACGGAATAGACTATCCATGGGGCCTGAGTTATGATGAGGACACACAACTTCTGTGGGTAGGGGCAGCTGACAACAACACAGTCAACCTATACAGAGTGGTAGATACAGACTCTCTGACTGGTAAGTAATGTTGTATATTGTTATAGTTAAGTTAGTTTAATTAGTTTAATTGTTTTACAATACTGTATGTACACATATGATAGATAATTTAATTGTTACTGGGAAAGTAATTAAACTACAATGATTGTTTTCAGTTTGATAACAACCCTTGCAGAAATAAATCCTGGAGGGTCAGGAGAAGTCAGGATAACCTGGGATTTTCCTGAGATATCCTGTCATGTCCTGCTCTCCAAAAATTTTTCTCCTGACAATTGTCATATCCTGAGATGTCCTGATATCAGGTTCAGGATTTTATCAGGACATGTCAGGACTTTATGTGAACACTTCACCAGAACAGGATCTTCCCAGGATTTTTTCAGGACTTTTACAAGATATCAAGTCCTGACACAAGGAAGTCTTAAGAATTTTGATATTTTCTGAACTAAAACAAACTGAATCAAATAAGTCCCGGTATATCTTGAGATCAGGACTGTTCAATTGAAAGTCCCAGAATATCCTGAAGTCAAGACACAATATCTCTATGTGGCCCCTTCATTGCAATTGCCCATGTGTTAAGTATTAATTCTTTCTGATGATAGCATCACAAATGATTTGGGGCCAGGCAGGAGTTTCTTTAATTCATTGACCATCTAATCTTCATCCCATCAATGTACAAAAGCTTCCCTCGACCTAAACAACCTGTTGTGTCCCCCACTGTTACTTAAACTAGGGCAGTATCCAATGAGGAGAGCCAGTCAGGATTTATGCGCCTTCTCAGACCAGTTCAAAATTTCAATACAAACCAAAATGTTAGTGAGGAACATGGAAGTATTTATACAGTAAAGAAGTGAAATATGTTGTGGGAAATACAGTATGTCATCACCATATTGAACTAGATGTCAACATTTAAAAGTTGATTGTGTCTATGTCCATAAGATGGGGAAATATTGAAGATACAAATGACCTGGATGCAGTGAAAGAAAAATTTCAAAGATTTGCTTGTGATATAAAGAATGCTAAGAAAAGGGTGAGTGCATGAGGTTAAATTTATATTTCCATCCCTCATTTCAGATTTATATGATTATATAGCATAGTTTGTTGATTAATTATAAGTAAGTATTTGATTTAGGTATAAAAACAGTATGTTATCAGTAAATACAATGCACATGTAAAATATATGTACATGAATTACATCATGATATCATGTAATTAAAATATTGTTTTATATATTATAAGATTTTAATATATGATCAAACATTTTCCTAAACAATTATTGCATATTCTCTGTAGTTTCTTTCAAGAACTATATAATAATATATAAGGATGGTCAAATGTACATTATTATAGTACACAGCTCAGTGCAGTTCTTTCAGTGTAATTTGTTAGTTTAATATTGATGCATATGATTTTTTTTATTGACTGCATGGTCTTTCATGACCAACTGAACTGTAAAAAATATACATGATATACATGTATATTTATTTTATTTATTTTGACCATTAATATAAACAATTTACTTTGATTAAGTGTTTTAAATAATAATTTGTAAAAATATCTTAATTTAATACTTTACAAGCCTAACAACAGAATGCATCCCTGGAGTCAGTGTTTCCACCATTCCTTGCATCATGAAAGACTTTTTAAGTTCCAAAGAAAAAAATTGATTAAAGAATAATTTTGATAAATAATAATCCTTTTGTCTTTTAGTGTACAGAAGGACATTGTCCACTTGAACCATCCTGTTTTTGAAAGACATGACAAAATCCTAGAGGTCATTATGACAATAAGGGGATTGTTGATCTCAGGAATATCTCAAGATATCCCAAGATTTTTACACTACAAAGTAAAATTCCTGAGGCCAGGATGATGACAGGATTGTAATCCCATGAAATCTCAGGATATCCCAGGATTTTCATGGTACCATGAAACATGTGAAATATTCCTGAGGTCAGGATAATTGTGGTACCAGGAATTCTCAAGACATATCAGGATATTTTGCTTTACCAGGATGTCCCGTGAAATCCTGAGAAATCCTTGTTCCAATACCATCCTGACAGTCCCTGAGGTCAGGTACCAGGATATTCCTGAGATTTCCTGGGATTTTTAACCAAGATATCTTGAGAAAATCTCAGGAAATCTTGGGATATCTTGGTCTATTTTCACAAGGGATATTACATGTTTAGTTTGATTACAACTTGACAAGAAATATTTCTATGATGAGGATACATTAATTATAAATAGTATTAAACTATAGATACATTATTCATATAATTTGTTTATTATTTAATTAGTGTTCTTATAATGTATACTTGGTTTTGGAAAATATTTTTTTAAAGCTTTGATGTCTTTGACAAACGCAGATTTGTAGCAAATGAAATTTAACATATTTTTTTTACATATGAAAATAAGTATTCTATTCTACATCATGTACACATGCTAAATATTCTAACTGGTAATTGATTGTTTGAACAACTTTGATTGATTTTAACTTCTGTTTTTGTTGACATGATTGTGGATGAAACTTTATAGTATATATATGCATGAATATTAAAGCTTCGGGTTCCTAACTTGAGGAAATCAAAGGGGGATCGAATGGTGTGGTTTAATGTTTGTTTAAGTGTTTGTATGTCACTAACACATGTCTAAGGAAATGGAATCTAGAGAACAGTCAACTGTTTAATGGGGTGTGGGGTGTGAGGTATAGGGAGGGGGACATTTTATTTCACTAAACAGTATATTGATATAGTTTTTTCAATACTTTATTCAAGCAAAAATAAGTCAATCTCTGAGAACATGGAGAAGACATACTGGTAGTTTTGATATCAACACCAGTGACATTAACACAGATCTGTCTAGGAATGTTGTGTATTTCTGTAGCAGGTGTTCATTAAATCAACACTGTGTACTGGGCTGACATTGTACATGTATATTACATATAGTGTTCACAGATTGTAGCGGTTATAACTAAGTTGCATCATCTTAGCAGAATTTGTGTGTGTGTGTGTGTGTGCGTGAGAGACTAGAGGGTGTGTGTGTGTGTGTGTGTGGATCAAATAGTAGTTAATCATTTACATTGCAGTTGACAACTAAAGATTAATCAAATGGTGAAAAATGAAAGAATGTGAAATTGTTCTTGACAAGTGTACAGTAATAAAATCAAGATGTGAGACTCACCCATAACATGAGTAATACAGGGAAACATTAAGAAAATATATGAGGATGATGAAATGCTAGATATATCTTTATATACTACATGTATATTGTGTATATTATTTTTTTTTTCTTGTGAAAAGATCTTCCACTGGAGGATTTCAAATGTGGGACTTTTATACCAGTTATATGGAAAAACATTAAGAACATATAAGATAATGATAAAATGCTAGAGATATCTTTATCTATTTTGTGTATATTGTTTTACAATTTTTCTTCTTTTTACTTGTTTTAAAAGGTCTCCCTCTGGAGGATTTCAAATGCAGGAAACATCCAAGCCGTCCGTTATCGCAGTTCTGTATCCCGTGTGACGTCACCTTGTGTCAGGAGTGCATCAGGACCTCTGATGATCATAAGAGACATGATGTTCGAGATGTAGAGAAATTATTCAGAGAAATTCACAAGAGAAAAGGTTTGTTATGATGAAGAATTTTTTTCATTCGAAAAATCAAGACCAAAATAATCAACTGTGTCCATCATTTTTTAGCTCACCTGTGCTGACAGCTCAATTGAGCTTTTCTGATCACATTTTGTCTGAAGTCCATCTGTCCCTCTGTCTGTAAGCTTCTCAAAGAACAACTGGACCAATTTTAACTAAACTTTCCAAAAAGCATCCTTGGGTGAAGGGGATTCAAGTTTGTTCATTTGAATGACCTTGCCCTAATTCAAGGAGATAATTTAAAAATAGTGCTAATTAAGTGGCATATTTTTAAAATCTTTTTCTCAAGAACCACTGGGCTAGGAAAGATGAAACTCATATGGAATCAACCTCAGGTAGTGTAGATTCAAGTTTGTTCAAATCATGACCCCTGGGGGTAGGGCAGGGCCACAAAGGAAGATCAAAATTTTACAAAGAAATTAATATAATGTGGGAAAAATCTTTAAAAATATTTTTCTAAAGAATAGCAAGACATGATTGGTCATATTTGTATGTAAGCATCCTCAGGTAGTGTAGTATGATATTTATTTAAATCATGACCCTAAGGGTAGGATAGGGCCACAATTCATGATCAAAATATTACATTTTAAGTTTACAATTGAAAAACAATTTTCTCCAAAACCACTGGGTCAGGAAAAATGAAAATCCACAGGTTGTGTAGATTTAAGTTTTTAGCTCTTCTGAGCCAAAGGCTCAAAGAGCTAATGCTATGGCCATTTGTGCGGTGTGCGTTAACTTTTTAGAATATTGGCCATAACTCAAGAACCCCTTGGCCAATTATTGTCAAATTTGTCACAGAGTATCCTTAGCCCAAGGGCTACCATTTATACTAAAACTAGGGGTGGGACCCTAAAACAAGGGGAGATAATCATGAAAATAAAACCAAAAGTACTGGTTGCTAAAAAATCCTCTTCTCCAGAACCACCAGGCAGATTTTCACCAAACTTACATACAAGGGTCGGGATATGTTGAAGATTAAAAATTGTTCAAGGCATGACCCTGGGGCAAAGGGCGTGGTCTCAAGGTCACTTCAAAGTTGACCAAAATTTACACATTAAAAACGTTGATATTTTGCTTACTTTTATAAAGACTAGGATCATCAAATCTTGTAAGTTGATGCATCTCAGGACTTGACATCATATTAATGCAAAAGTAGGTCACAGTGACCTACTTTTTAAATTTTACGGGCTTTTGTTTTCAGATTTATTCCGAGGCATATTTTGGACACTTTAAGGCCATGATCATAAAACGTTGTCAGTTGGTACATCTTAGGTCCATAAACAACATCAACTTAAAAGTAGGTCATCGTGACCTACTTTTTGAATTTTATGGCCAATCTTTTCTAAAAAATTTAATTATTTCAGACACCGTGAGGTTTAGAATCACCAAATCTTGTAAGTTGATGCATTTTGGAACCTTAAAGCATTTGTTTTCAAATCGTTTAAAATGCATATTTTGAATACTATTAGACCTATGATCATCAAATTTTGTCAGTTGATGCATCTTTAGTCTTCAAAAAATGTCGACCAAAAAGTAGGTCACTGTGACCTACTTTCAACATTTTATGGCTAGATTTGAGTATCTCAGGTACTAATTGGCTTAGAATCATCAAAATTTGTCAGTTGATGCATCTTGGGTTTTCGAAGATTAACAACCAAAAAGTAGGTCATGGTGACCTACTTTTGACATTTATGTCTATATTTAAGTACCGTATATACTCGCCTATAAGTCGGTTTTTTGGGAGTTAATATCTGGTCCAAAACTCTGTGTCCGACTTATAGGCGAGCTATAAAAAGAATGGTATTATATGAGGTCAGTCCATCTGAAATATAAGCTTATTAAGTACAACCGACTTATAGGCGGACCGACTTATAGGCGAGTATATACGGTATCTCAGTTTCTTGTTGGCTTAGAATCATCAAACTTTGTCAGTAGATGCATCATAGGTTTTCCAAGCATATTGACCAAAAAGTAGATCACGGTGACCTACTTATGAATATCTCAGGTACTGATTGACATAGAATCATCAAACTTTGTCAGTAGATGCATCTTGGGTTTTCAGAGAATGTCAACCAAAGAGTAGGTCACGGGGACATTTTACACAGTAGCCTAATCATCTTTTGGGAGATGGTTGGTGGGGTCATGTAGATGTGCAGTAAGGTTTTGGAATTTTAATTTTGCCCTGGGGGGTCAAATGGGGGTCGAAAAATGACGTTTTTTATGCTAAAAGCCCCGTCTTCTCTGAACTTCTCTTACATTTTACTCAGCAGCCTTATCATTTTTTGGGGGATGATTGGTGTTGTCACGTAGATGTGCAGTAAGGTTTCTGAATTTTGAGTTTGCCCCAGGGGGTCAAATGGGGGTCGAAAAATGAAGTTTTTTATGCAAAAAGCCCCATTTTCCCTGAACTTCTCTTACATTTTACTCAGCAGCCTTATCATCTTTTGGGGGATGATTGGTGGTGTCTCGTAGATGTGCAGTAAGGTTTCGAAATTTTGATTTTGCCTCGGGGGTCAAATGGGGGTCGAAAAAATGTTTTTTATGCAAAAAGCCCCGTCTTCCCTGAACTACTTCTACATTTTACACAGTAGCCTAATCATCTTTTGGGAGATGGTTGGTGGGGTCATGTTGATGTGCAGTAAGGTTTTTGAATTTTAATTTTGCCCTGGGGGGTCAAATAAGGTTCGAAAAATGACGTTTTTTATGCTAGAAGCCCCGTCTTCTCTGAACTTCTCTTACATTTTACTCAGCAGCCTTATCATTTTTTGGGGGATGATTGGTGTTGTCTCGTAGATGTGCAGTAAGGTTTCGGAATTTTGATTTTGTCCCAAGGGGTCAAATGGAGGTAGAAAAATGATGTTTTTTATGCAAAAAGCCCCGTCTTCCCTGAACTCCTTCTACATTTTACACAGTAGCCGAATCATCTTTTGGGAGATGGTTGATGGTGTCAGGTAGATGTGCAGTAAGGTTTCTGAATTTTGATTTTGCCCTGGGGGGTCAAATTTGGGTCGAAAAATAACGTTTTTTATACAAAAAGCCCCGTTTTTCCCTTAACTCCTCTTACATTTTACTCAGCAGCCTATTCATCTTTTGGGAGATGGTTGGTGGGGTCATGTAGATGTGCAGTAAGGTTTCAGAATTTTGATTTTGCCCTGGGGGGTCAAATGGGGGTCAAAAAATGACGTTTTTTATGCAAAAAACGTTTTTATGTGAAATAAAGAAATCCCTAGTAATTCCTGTTCAAAAGTTAATTGCCAAGTTAATTTTTTTTTAAGTGGTTCAAACTCTAGGGTCAAGGTCAAACATATTTATACCTGTTGACAGTTCACAATTAATACACATGTTAAGCTTGAAAGCCCTAGCACCTACTGATCAAAATTTAGGCCAAGTTTAAAGTTTGGTATTTTTCTTGTAAAAATGTGTATCCTAGGTCAAGCGATTTCAGGTAAAAATTAATGGTACCCAAATAAAAGGTCTTAATTGTCACAAGAAATAAACCTATAAAATGTGGAAGCCATTTGTATAGCCCATCCCACTTAAAACTTATGGGCAAGGTTATAATTTCTGAAGACAAATAGACAGACATAATATAAACACAAGAAACAAAATATGTGTAATTAGTCAAATGGAAAAAAATATACTATTTAATTGGAATCACAAAATAGATTGTTATTTCAGGGACAGGGAGTGGGTAGGGAGATTGGAATCCCCCCCATCCCCCCCCCCCCCCTGGAATTTGCTTTGTTATTTAAACAAGACTATATACTGAAGCAAAAAAAAATTGACTTTGGACATCCTCCCCCTAACTGACCACACTATCTTTGTTTTTATTTTGTTTATTTGTTTTCAGTTTTTTTTTCTCCTGCTTGTCAGGAAATTCTGGGCATGGAAATTTTTTGATTGAGATGTGAACCCCCCTCCCTACTCCCGAAAAAAAATTCTGGATCCGCACCAGTATTGGCAGTAACTGAATGTCACATCGACAATGGCAGATAACTTCACAATATGAAATTCGTCTAGCGTGGCATGCTATGATCTTTGACCCTTTTTGAGCTTTAACCTAATCGTTTGGGTTTATTTTACCCCCCACTATACTTAAACTTGTACTTACCGACTGCCATATGTCTCGTCAACTTCATGAAATACAAAATGAATTAATCCAATGCACACCAGACTACAGCCATGTGCTAATTCCATTCGACAAACCTTCGTCGATTCCGTCACCTTATCAGATGAAGTGGGAATCGGCCGAGGTGTGCCAAATGGTGTTTAATCTAAAAATATGATAATGGGTGACACAATGTGATGTGATGTAGAAATTTACATGTTAACATGTATAGTACAAGAACATATTTTAAATTAATTCATTACAAACGATGTTTTAACAAAACTTTTCCATCTAGCCTATTCCAAACAGTGTGTGCTGTGTGATTGTGGTGTCGAGGGGGGGGGATTAATAAATTTAAAAAGGTCCTGTTATGAGAAAACATTTATCAAAATCTAATTTACATCATTAATAGAATTCAAACTGGTATATAATGAATAAATCATTTAAAATAAATATAAGAGGTTCTGAGTTATAGGTCACAGGGTCTGAGAATTTCATACTCAGTTTGATGAATACATGTAAATCATTGGTGTCGGAAGCAAATTCAAAGTGGGGGGGGGGGGAGGCTAGGTGTAAAAAAAAAATTATATCTTCTCAAAAACCTCACCAAAAAAAAAAAACAAAAAAAAAAAAAACGAAAATATCAATTTCCCAAACACGAAAATCCTATTTCGGAAGGGGGGGTGGGGGGGTGGGGGGTGGGGGGGGGGGGTGTGAATTCGAACTTCAGTACCAAAACTTTTTTTTCTATACACCACCTTTTTCCCATTTTCTACCTATACTGCCATGTGTCTGTGGAAAGTAAGGGGGCTAAACCTATGAAGCAATGTTCTATATCTATACTAAGTATATGTTTGGAGAACCC